AGTGGCCACTTAAGAGAATCTCATTTTCCTTGAATCATCTTGTAGTTATGTTAGTGATTTTGTTCTTAGTATCTTCATAGTAGGGTTCTCAAATCACTTCTGCTATTGCTATTGTTTAAGCAGAACAAGTATATCAGCATCCTAAAAATGGTTGCCACCTATATCCACTGAATTGCACTTCACGGGACAGACCCTGCCTTTCTGAGCTCAGTGCAGACATGTTCAAACATCTTTTCATCTGCTGTGAAAATACTAAATACTCAGGACAACATCATGTATTCATTGTGTAGATTTCATCTGTAAGCATAGCCCCTGCTCAACAGAACAGGATATGTTTGCAGATATGCATAGATCTGTAAAATTTGGCCTGTAACAAGAATAGTGTGGCCAGCAGGACTAGGGAAGTGATCAGCCCCCTGTACTCAGCGCTGGTGAGGCCACACCTCGTGTACTGTGTTCAGTTTTGGGCCTCTCACTTTAAAAAGGACATTGAGGAGCTGGAGTGAGTCCAGCAAAGGGCAACGAGGCTCATAAAAGGTCTAGAACACATGTCCTATGAGGAACAACTGAGGGAATTGGGTTTGTTTAGCCTTGAGAAGAGGGGGCTCAGGGGTGACCTCATTGCTCTCTACAACTACCTGAAAGGGGGTTGTAGAGAGATGGGGGATGGTCTCTTCTGCCATGTGCCATGGCTGCAGCGAGAGGACTAGAGGGAATGGTCATAAACTGAGACGGGGGAGATTCAGATTAGATGTTAGGAAAAAATTTTCACTGTTAGGGTAGTCAGATACTGGAATAGGTTGCCCAGGTGGAGTTACCATCCCTGGAAGTGTTTAAGGGGTGTCTGGATCTAGTGCTGGAGAATATGGCTTAGGGTTTAGGGGTTACAGCAGAGTGGCAGGTTAATGGTTGGACTCTATGATCCTAGAGGTCTCCAGCCTTGATGGTTCTGTGATTCTAAAGCATCTCTTGCTTGCTTCAGGATTGTGTGTAGCTACGGAACTCCTTTCTCATTCAGCTTTATAGGTAATTATTTTTCTTTCTGTCCCTCAAAAATGTTCAATATTTTAAAATGTTCATCATATTTTTCTAAGTTTCTTGTAACCCTTGGTAGTGAACAGTATGGATCCATGGTCCGAACATAAACTGAGCCAGTTTCATGTCTTTGTTGCTGCTGTTTTGCATCAGAGCCTTGAGGCTAGTTTTCTACCGCCCTCCATGAATGCCCTAGCCAGTGGTCTGCAGAGCTGGTATGTGATTCCCTGGCCTGATTTGCATTTTATTAGTGATGCACTATAAAAACAGATGCAAAGTAAATAATGAGAGGGTTTCTGTATAAAACAGCCAATAAGCCAAGGGCAAGATAACTAGCTAGTATATACAAAGCTCTTTAAGATCTACAAAATAAAATCAGCATGAAATGCAGCCCTTATTAACATGGATGTCTTTTCTGCTATCCCTTCAATTTGATAGAGGGTGACATTGATCTTTTACTGGAGAAATTTTATCAGGAAAACCAAGGGCACATCTCTTCATCGCTTTCTGCTTCAGTGAATAAACCTACCGCAGTGAACGGAACTGGAACAGCTGTGTGTACGAGTAAGTAAGGAGGATTTTCTAAAGAGGGAACAGAGTAGAGTACTAGAGACCAAGTTTCTGTGTGCACAGTCAGATCCATCTGGGCAGAGTTCTAGGCTCTAGAAGGCAAAGGTCCTGAGGCAAACAGCAACTCATGTCGGAATATTCAGATTTACACTGGTGGATGTTCTGCTTCATTTCACTGGGTATTACAGTCTTTGAAGCTTTAAGTCTTACTTCTGTGGTAGCAGAATGATATTGCACAAGTTAACTTTCAGCTCTCAGACATTTAAGAGACACATAGGACCCAAAAGCCCAAATACAGAAAGATTTATTTGCATATTTTATGTAGATTTGCATAAACGAACTCCTGTTCATAAGTGAAGTACCTTATAGAGTAGATCAGTAATTCTTTGCCAGACCCTTAACATTTTGTGTTAGATTAGACTTTAGGCACGTATCTAAACAGAATTTTGCCTTTTTCCAGGTTATGAGATTGAACGACATCAAATTCGTCCATTCCAGCTAGCAGTGGCTCAGAAATTGCTGTCTCATATTTGCTCAATTGCTGACTCCAGCACTCAAAATCTTGATTTGGGTTCCTTCGAGAAAATTGATTTCTTGATTTGTGTTCCACCCTCCGAAGTGACTTATCAGCAGACTTTGTTTCATCTCTGGCACTCAGGTTCTCATTACTTAGCTTTATTTTAGATTTACAAGACATTCTTAGATGTATTTTTATCTGGAAATACTTACATTTGTTCCATCTCTTTAGGTATTTTATTAGAACTTGGATTAGAAAAGGAACATCTTACAAAGCAGAGAGTGGAACAGTATGTTATGAAACTAGATGCAGAAGCTCAAATTAAATTCAAAGTCTTTTTACAAAACTCTATGCAGAATCCACATACACTGTTTGTCCTAATCCATGATCATGCACACTGGGATCTAATGAGGTAAGAAAACTGCAACTTGTTTCAGAGAAATTACTATTGTCTGCATTTCCCCTCAAGATTAGTTTTCAGATTTATCCCTTCTTTCATCTTTGCATCTTTCTGCTAACTCTTTCTTCCCATGCATTGAATAAACATGTTTTCTTTTAAATCCCTTCTTGACTTATTCTTCTGCTGATTTTTATATTATGCCCAGTGGAACATTTCAGCTTTCCTTGCTCACCATTCTTATCTACTTTTACCCACAGCTAACTTATTGGCTCTTTTGGCTGTTTATCGTTTGTTCAGAGAAGAGCTTCCTGTGAAAGTACACACAGAAATTTTCTAGTTGCAGTGAAATAATTTGCATTTCTTTCCTCATCCTTCTGTCCAGCAATTTCAAAGTAGAAGAAGAGAGTCCTAAGTTCCTTGTGTGTGTTTAACTTTGATTTCGCATCCAGGTTTAAGCTATTCCACAGACATAAATGTTCAATTGTGCTGATCATTTTGGAGAGTTTTGGGTTTCTTTTTTGCAGTGCTATGCATAGCCTTTATCCTCAAACAGAACTGTCTACAGGACTTGTTGATAGACTGTTGAACTGCAGGGAGGTGAAAGAGGCACCAAATATTGTGACCCTCCATGTGACTTCCTTCCCCTATGCGCTGCAGACACAGCATACTCATATCAGCCCTTACAATGAGATCCACTGGCCTTCTTCGTACAGCAATGTAAGATGGATGTTTTAAGGTGCTTTTGTGAGCTTTTCACAAATTATTATTCATTTACATATTTGACAAAACTGTGAAGTCTCCATGATTTTTGTAAAAAAACAAATGAAGTTTGCATGGCATCTTTTTCTTGTTCAGCCTGTGGCAAGTTCATTTTCCCTCTGCTTATCCTGTAATTTCTAGCTTTTTTTTTCTTTATTCCTTTTGTATCTTCTATAAACTTTAGTAACTCTGCTAAAAATCTTTGAGCTACATAAATGAAAATCATCTGAAATTCTGTATCTTGTGTATTGCTGCATAAATATATGTACATATGTGGATTTTCTTCATATGTGTGCTTATTTATTCCATACATATTTGTTCTGTGTATATGTATATGTGGAGAGAAATAAACAAATGAGGAAAAATTGCATCAAACTTTCATTCTCTCAAAAAACTAATTATGTTTCTTTTCCTTCTTGTTTTAATATGTTTGAGTACATGTATGCTTATTAGAGAATGTGATTGTAAACATGTCAGATACCAATGGTTAATGAATTGTAAATTAATAATTGATAGACCTTATCTGTATATTTTTATTGCTTCATTTGCTTTAGGGTGTAGATTTATACCATGAAAACAAGAAATACTTTGGACTGTCCGAATTCATTGAGTCCACCCTCTCTGGGCACAGTATTCCACTACTTCGGTATGACAGCTCTTTTGAAGCAATGGTCATGGCTTTGGGAAAGAGGTATGGTGCCCTCCTTTGTTTAACACAGGAGATTTTGGAAGTGCCTTCTAGTGACTTGAGTTATTAGCTAGAAGCCTGATTCTTTTTTTTTTCTTCTCACTGTCCAACACATCAGCTGCACATGAAAAGGCTTTTCACCTGTTCTTGTTTTCTTCTTCCATCCTTTTTGTATATACTTGGCCTGCAATATCATCAGTCTAAGCTGCCTCTTAATAAGAACATGCACACAGCTTAGTCCAACTTACAGTGTGTTCTTGTTGTGACCAGTACCTATTTCAATATTATAAGAATCTAATGTTGCATCATCATGTAATTTCAAACATGTCATTACTTTTGTCCAATGTTACCACTTGCTGACCCTGGCTGATTTTGATGTATTTGTGTATACTACACTCGGACCACAAAGAGAAGTTAGACATATCACTGTGGTAGGTACACTTAAATCAGTGTATCATTAGAGCTCGAAAAATACATAATCAGTTTTATCTTGGTCCCTGTGGAAGAGATTGAGAATCACTGCAAAAGAGTAGTGACACATTGTGTGCCTGCATCCTGCTGTGGATTAACATTTTAGGATCTGTAAGAAGAATGAGGCAGGACAAGTAAAATCTTGTGAATTTGTATTGCTAACTGAGAGATCGAGCAGATCCACACTTTATGTAAAACTGGGGCTTGTTACAGGGTGCTTTGGAGCTCCATTCACACATACAAAGTGCTTTTCTGAGCAAGCCATGGTCACATTTTTTTTTTACTGTGCGCTTGGGTTTCATTTCTGTGAAAACCAGAGCATGGGAAGGTGTTGCATATCTGCAGCTTTCCTTTCCATAGACTGGGGATTGAGAAAGGGTGTACCTGGGCTTGGGAAGTTGGAGAAATCATTGGATGCTGCCTATGTATTCAGTCTTCTTGAACACAAGAGTAAGTTGGTTCAGGGCTTCAGTAAAAAAACAAGAAACACCCCACCTCCCTCATGCCCCTTAAGAATGGCACACGATGAATCTCATTGATAAGAGAGTATAATTTAGATTGATTACTGAGTAGTAATATCTGTGATAAATTTTGCAACAGCAGTAATGTCTAGATAATTTAAAGTGATGCAACTGGACTATTTGCTTAGCAAATCTTTACTAAGAAAGATGGAGAGACATCAGTTCTGGTTGTGAAACGATGCCTTGCAAAGACTATCCAACTGCAATTTGATGAGATTCTGTTGTGTAGTAGATACGAAGGATTCTTTACAGGAGAAAATCCTGAGTTTGCTATATTTTGTAAGTATGTTTAATTCAACATTTATTTCAGGTTCCCCAGGTTACACAGTGCAGTGATAAGGACGTTTGTCCTCATCCAACACTACTCTGCAGCAATGATGGCAGTGTGTGGTCTTTCTCAGATGAAGAATTACACCTCAGTTGAAACTCTGGAAATCACCCAAAATCTAATAAACTCTTCAAGACAATGTCCTAGTGGCCATGGCCTTATGGTAGTGTTGAGAATTCCATGTACTCCGCTGGCTGCAGTGGCATATGAACGTCTGTATAATGTAAGGGAAAGACTAGCCCTTGAAGATAACTTTGAAATAATCTTGGGAAATCCTAATTCTGGAATCACAATAGGGAAGCACTTTGTGGAACAACTAAAGGTAAATTGCAGAATGACATGTACTGGGAAACTTCATTCGGTGGGTAGGTGGGCAAACTTTACCGGTGAGAGTTATAGTCATGAACTGAAGTGTGTGTCTTATAGTAAAAGCAAAACTACCATAAGAAGCATGACTTTCATCTTTTAGACCTGCTATCTGACACCTCTCCTGTCCTGCCTGTGGTTAATACTTAAATGGAATATTAACTAGTTTGGCTAGAACTTGACTTCCAGCAGCAACTCTCAGAAACAGCTGAACTGCTTTGATCTAAAGGGACCATGGGAAATGCATTAAAAAGGCCAAATAAAATGTTCAGTTTTAGCTGAATTTTCTCACAAAACCGTCATAGTGCAAAAAAAGATTTTAATCAGTGGCCAGTTGAGAGTCCTATTATTCTTGTCACCAGCAGGTGGCAAGAAGGCACCAAGGTACCTACCAATCCGTCATAGTAGCTACGGATCCTAGAACACCCTGGTGTTCACAGCTCTGGACTTCATGCTTTCTGAACCATATTTTACTTTGTGGATTAATTCATATTCCTTAGGACCAAGTTCATGGGTTATTTGCCTTTGCCTTTCATAAAATTACCATCATCTCATCACTAAATCAAAAATGTATTTACATTCTAGGGTGTTGTAATATATATATATGCTGTACTCTGTCATGTTTTTATTCAACACATGCTAAATGGAATCATTTGAGATCTATTGCCTAATGCTGATCTCATTCTGCTATAAATTAGGCATAGCTTATTCTGAAAAATCAGTGTTAGTTCTGAATCACACCCTGATTATCTGCTCTGACATGCATAATAGTGGAACATGTACAAATGTCAGAGGTTGAGTTGTCATACTGTTGATCCTCCTTAACTGCAGATCAATTTTGCAGCAAAAAGGACTGACTTATGTGAGTAAACCAGTGTAGCCTGATGCTAAACAGTCAAACAATACATCTAGTTATCAAACTTTTCATTAAGTTACTAGGAAAACCAACACATGTCGGAGAGAACAGGAGACTCCAGAGGTTTGCAAGCGAGAACAGTGATGTGTGGTTTCTCCTGTACCTCTGAGGTGAAAAAGTCTCATTCCTAGCTCATTTTTGTTCCTTGGACTTAGACATCCATACACTATTTGCCACAAGAAGCAGCCCTCTGTACTCTTCTTTCCCCCAAAGCTCCTGCTTAGGTTTGCCCTCTGTTGGCCCATATCCTCCCTATGCCCTGGCCTCAGTGCTATGCAGCTGGGAAGCTACAAGGCTTTTCAGACTGGAACATATTGTCCCAATGTCCTCAAACTTGCAGCAGGCAGACTGCTACCAGTTATGCTGCAGCAACTGTGAAATCTGTCTGTGTTGAAGTTGGCTCTGCTATGTGGCTTGCCTTCCACTGTACAAATGGATTTTTATAATGCATGGTAAAAGAATGTATTTCTGTCTTTTTATTTGTGCCATATAGATAAACCCAACAGTGTTTCTTTACCTTATACAGGCCTGGCAGAAAATTGAGGATGTAGATTGGAGGCCACAGACCTATTTGGAATTGGAAGGTTTGCCCTGTATATTGATATTTAGTGGGATGGATCCACAAGGGGAGTCATTGCCTCGGTAAGAAGATCCACTCTTTTCTCAGTGGCAGTTTTTTATCCATTGCTTACCAAATGGCTAAAGTTTAACTGTGTAATTACCTGCAAGAGAAGAAAACAGATTTAAATGTCAACATGTTTCTTTTCCATTTTTTAGCAGTTTTTGTATCATAAATACAAATGCCATGTTGTTGATAATAACCTTCTGTTTATAGTAAGATATAAATAGCTCCAAAAATATTGTGAGAGTTGTCCCAGTTTAGAGGAGAGAATGGATATGTTAAAAAAAGGAAGTATAGCTGCTTTTGTTACCTTAGGATAGCTGAGAAATCTGCATGATGCTGGCATATGTGCTCCAGGACCTGTGGAGAGATCAGTGCCTCCTGGAATGGCAGCTGGAAGTCAGGCAGGTTGCCCTGGGGCTCTAAATGCTTTTGTATGTTCAACTGAGTCCTATTCTGTGTGCTAGGTTTAGAACCCAAATGGTTATTCTTTTTCTCATGCTGATAATAATGTTCAGTGTGCTACATTAAGCTGCATGACTGGATTAAGAAAAGGAAAAGTGTATGCACCACAGTGGTAAACTTATTAAGCACAAAACACTGTGTTCTATCTCATCTGTAGCTGGAGCAAATAATGAAAAAAATTCCCCTTTGGCTGTGTTTGTAAAAGAAATACAGGATTACAGTGTGTTTGCATACTAGTTTTCATACCTCTTGTTTCTCTTCAGATCATTGAGATACTGTGACCTACGTTTAATAAATTCATCTTCTCTGGTAAGGACAACCTTGGAGCAAGAACTTGGTTTGGCAGCATACTTTGTGAGCTCAGAAATTCACACAGAGAAAGCAGTTGTGAATGATGTGTTAGAAAGTGACCCAGAGAAACTAAGCAGCACTGATAATGAAGATGAAGAAATAGCGACAGAAGGTATTATTAGTAGTGATAATAAAAGAAGCTGGAAAATGATTGAGTTGTATTAGAAAAAGCAGAATTGTCTGGGTGAGGGTTTCTGGAGTTAGCCTTACTGCGTGAGCTCTGCTCCTCAATGTTTTTTCATCTCATTGAACCTATGTTCTCTCACCCTCCCTGCATGGGGCTACTGATGATGATGATGCATTTTAACCTCTTGCAGTTCTAGTGCTGTTTCTGTTATCTCTTTCTGGGTTTTTGCTCCCTTTTCTCTCTTCCCTCTCTCCCTCCTTTGCCCTGTATGTTCTGGCAGCCACAAAGTGGAGCTTGAGTGGGTATATCCAGTCACACTCACTGTTCAGGGTACCCTCTGCACTTGCCCTCCCCAGCAGGATGGGTGCAATTTGCCATCTGAGAAGCAGTGACCCCATCCCTTCCCTCCCAGCAGTGGCAGCTCCACCTACACTGTCCCTGACCGATGCTATGGAACCTATGCTTACATACTGTCAGTGATGAAGATTCCTTCCAAGGAAACTGTATATAGTACAGCTGAGTAGACTCTAGTTTGTAAGGTATTGCATAATATAGATAGAAAATATATCTGATCATAGTAACTTCTGAGTACTCCTTGAAAATGCCCATGATTTTGAATTGACAGTGTAGAGTTGGTGAGCTTATAATTTCTTGAGAGCAATTAAGAACATATACACATGTGAAAAAACAACAATAATTTACCCAGGAATGCTTGGGGATTTTTTGACGGATAGTTGATGGGCATTACCAGTTATCATTAATGAACCCTGTAGGTTATTTAAATCTCAAACAACTTGTCTTAATTTCATTTTCTATACTGTGAGGAGGAAGAGAGCGAATTACTCTTCACCTATGAAGTTCTTACTGATTATAAGGATAGCAGAACAAGCAGAACAAAAATATTTTTGTTAATCAAATATGTACTCTTCACAGAGGAACAAAATACCTAAGGTCATACTCAGACTGCCTGCTTAAATGTGATGAGTACTTCTGTCCATTTAGTTGAAGTATGCTGAGATTGTACGTGAGTCAAATGGGCACCTAAGTTGTTAGGTGTCTAAATTGTAAGGCTGCTCTCCTAGTCCATGAAGTATGATATGATTGCCCAGAGTCCAATTCAGAAAACCTGAGATAGACTTAGTCAAATTTTTCTGCTGGCAGTGTTTATATCTCTGTTTATCATGGTAAAACTGCACAGAAACAAGCATTTTAACTTAGAAGCCTGAGCTAGGAACCTCAAGTGAATAGTCTTGATGGCCATCCAAATAGGAATTTTCATCACCAAAAGCAGTGATATAATCTGGCCATAAAGTTGTATGGGGTAGGAGGCAATTTCATAACATCCTGATGAAATAGAGCTTGTTGCCTGTTGGTTTCCCTGACACTGGATTAGTGAGGAAAGTAAGACATGGGTAGGAAGAGAAATCTTGGTTGAGACATCATGGTTGAGACATGCCTAGAAATTACCAACTCCTGGCTGCAGCATTGTGTTTTGTGAAGCTATTGCAGCTCAGTATAGGCTTATCCCATATTGCATGGTAGGAACTGATACTCTCTATACTGAGAAAATATTGCTAGGAACTGATACTCTCTATACTGAGAACAAACCCACACAAACCCTTGTGTACTTTTCCCTGCTTTGACAGCATAGCCCTGACTTCTTACAGGCTTACTGAAATTACATTTTGGTTTTGTTTTCCCTTGCTACCATTCATGAAACAGGTTCTACTTCAGAAAAGAGAAGTCCTATGAAAAGAGAAAGATCTTGTTCCCATGACTCTGCGTCTTCATCTCTCTCTTCAAAAGCTTCCAGTAAGACCATAAGATCATCTCTATTAAGTTAAATTTAGGACATAAAAGCGACCTTCAGTTTATTAGATAAATACAAAAATGCATAAATCACTAAGATTTTGATAAGACCTATTTTGATGGGATCACGTAAGATAATACTTATCAGACTTAGTCAGACTTATGAAATACAAGAAATAGGATCTTTTCTTGTTTGAAAAATAATCATGTGATGGGGTGCCTAAACCAGACACTTCTTTAATATGTGACATTGAGGTATAAATCCTTAGTGTGATGATGGCTGAGTGTGTTCACTGAAGCTGTGGCAATTTATGAAAAAGGAAGCACTTCATGTTTAACAATTTTGAGTTTTAAATCTGAGGGAGAACAAGTATGCTCCTTCTCCCTGGTATTTTTACCTTTTTGTTTTTGCTCTGGAATGTTCACCCATTAATTTCACACTGTTTGAAAGCTCTTTTGGATGTGGATAATTAAAATCATCAGTTTCTTTTTAATCTGCAAACTGATGTAGAAAACATGAGGCAATGCTGAGAACTACTGCAGCTCTTTTGTCCAATAAATTTCTTTTCTTGCTTTTATGGAGATAATATTTGGGGCAGAGTTGAACCAAAGTGGGGAATAGAAATTCTGCCATAACTTTCTAGAAGTCACAGTGTCATGCAGCTTTTTAAAACATGTTATTTTTTTGTCAGTGACATTCAGTATGTTCTCTGAGCTGACCAAAAGCTGTGTGAATGCACTAATGCATTGTGTAGCACCAGGGATTTGAGAGCTGCCAGGTTTTATTAGATCAGACTAAGTGCTGCGTGTGACACAGACATAAGTGTCTGAGCGGAGCTGACTCAGAGGACTGTTTTTAGATGTCAGTCTGTGTAGACATTTCAGTAGTCTGAAGGGGTAATAGCCTGTGAATACTTATTTTCTTCATTTAAACAATGGTTTCAGTAATTTTCTATTTGTCTTGAGTGATGACAGTATCTGGTGAACACCTTATGCAAGATATGAGGGAAATAAAGGCCAGGACAATCACTGTCATCCTTCTTATGCACTTCAATACTTTAAAAGTCACTTTCTGTGTTGAGATGAATACTGCAAAGTAGTCCCATTATGTCTTGTTGTACAAGAAAGGTAAAAGCAAGAAGAAGAGCAAGGTTGCAATGTTTGGTGGATACTCTATCTAGACAATTATTTGTTGTATTTTGTTTAATTATGGCATTGACTAGCAGAAATAGTTGCACTGCATTGAAATATAAATTTTCTTTTAGTTACAGCATTCTGCACTGAGTCATCTCCTCCCCAAGTGCTAAGCAACAACACTGAAGAAATGACAAATAACTATGAAAAGCAGAAGCAGAAAGTAGACAGGGGGGCACAAACAACAATCAGCAAACACTTACCACCTGTAACTGAACAGCTGGATACAAAACAAAACATAAAAAGTGCCCAAATCTCCATCACCTCGTCATCTTCCTCACCTTTCTCCTCCTCTTCTTCCTCCTCTGCACCTACTCATAACTCCTTCATCCTACAGACCTCTCAATGCTCCATGACCAAAGCATCAAAACAACCTCCCATAGTTTTCCTGCCCAAACTGGTTTATGACATTATTACTTCTACAGACAGCAGTGGACTTCCCAAATCCTCTTCTCTCTTGCCTTATCATTCTGTTATGTGGGCAAGTTCTTTTCGTCCTCTTATGAGTAAGATGATGACTTGCACGGAGCAGTCTCTATACTACCGCCAATGGACGGTTCCAAAGCCAATCCATATGGACTACAACAATAGGAATGAGGGCAGAATGGACACCTTTCACCCAAGGAGGCTGCTGCTGAGTGGGCCACCACAGGTGTGTAATAAGAACAAAGTATTATTATTGATTTATTTTGTTCAATTTTGCCATAATCTCAGAAAAAATAGTTTAGTTATTATTATTATTCATACTCGAAGAGGTGTTTTTGGTGGAGGGTAAAATGCTTATGTTTTATTTCCTAATCCCTTCTAATAAAATAATCTTCCTTTCTTCACTATTAGAGTGAGTTCAAAGACAAAGAAGCTGCAGCAATGCATTTTCTATCATCTCGCTCCATTAAAATGTTTTAAAAGAGAGTTTGTTCAAGAGATAGATTTCCTGTACAATTTCAGTGTTAAAGCTGAATATGCATTTTCATTTTAAATAAAGATCAAAGATCTTCACAAAACCACTTGCTTTAGATCAATCTGAAGACAGCTGGGAGTTTGTAATTAAGTTATTTTCTCTGTTTCCTTTGCACAGCAGACAGAAATAGAAGCTGTTGCAAATAATACATGCAAGAAGGCCAGTTCAACATTAGCAGAGCCATATTTACGAGTAGCAGATCCAGGAGTTTTTAAATAACTTTGAAAAGATATATGGAAACGGGTCTAGTTCTAAGAAGTTTATTCTCTGTTTTTTAACTGGATATTACAACTTAGAAATAGCATTTTCCTTAAGTGTAGAAGCTGCTGATGAGCACAGCTCAGTCCTGTGGCACCACATCCAGGGAATGAAGCAAGAATGTACTAAGTCACTTCCTGAAGAAGAAAACTGCTGCACATATTATTTGGGTTTATGCTACTCCTATTAAAATCTTGTTACATGGGTGTATATACCATTCAGCTTATGTAAGAAAAATATCAGGGAAATATTTAATATATCTATGGCTAGCTGTGTTTTAGCAGAATGTAGCACATAGAAACAAGGAGAAGAGCCATCACTATTTGACCAGCTGTCTGTGGATCATCAACATGTTTTCTGTGAACCACCATTGATTCACAGAGCACAGTTTGAAAACCACTGTTGTGATATGTGAAGAACTATCTCACCTGGAAATTAAAATTAAAAAGCCTTATGGAATTATATCCTCTTTTGCCGTATTTCTCCAACTGTGAAGACTGAAATCAGATGATACTTTATTCCAACATGTAAGAATAATAAAGTGCTTCTGTGGTGCTGGTGTCCAGTGTCTGGAATGAGTTAAAAAAAGGAAACTCATTACTGTTAGACCTGCTACAGCAGCACGTTTGGATGTCATTTCCATGAATACACATGGAATCACACGTAATTTATCTGACTGGAATATTTCTCTCTCAGATTCTTAGTTTGTTTTCACCTTATCCTTGATATCTATGGCAAGCACAGTTGAGTAGTCAAAATCTTTGGAGAGCTTTCCACTCCTCTTTGGTAAGGCATGTCTTTGATACAAAAACTAGGCTTCATACCTCTTGAATTTTCTGCAGGAAGAATTTGAATTCATATTCCTTCCCCTTGCTCAGCTACAGCTACACTCTATGAATGAAGAGCTGCAGCATAAATGTATTCTTAGTATTTTATGGGCCAAATCATTCTTGCACTAAGGATGAAAATAGAAACAAAAATCTTTGCAGGACTTTGCACTTCCTTACAGTTGTCGTTGTTAAAGGGGTGGTGGCAGATGGGGCAAGAGCTCTTTGGAGAGATGGGAAGGTTGTGTTTATTGGCAGCTGTTCGGTATTTTGAATCAGAGAAACACTCTCTGTGCTATTCTATTTTGCCTAGAGATGGTAGACATAGAGAACAGTGCTATTAATTTTAAAGGTGCATTTAGCTGTCTGTGCATGCTACAAATTCACATGTTCATGGTTATTTGCTTCTGGAGTAAATGCTGATTGTAAATGAGAAGCCATTCTTTTCTCATTTTCCATTTGAAAATCTTCTCAAAATCACCTGGAAAAGGTGTTCTTTCATTCACCAATTCATTTCTTACACAGCAAGAGCAGGCAAATGTGCAAGTCACTGAAGTCCAGATATGAATATTGCATGTGACAGCCTGATCTCTCTCCTGGTGGAGAAACATTCTGGAAACGTGGAGAGATTCCTGAAAGTTCCTGGCAGCATGTTGTATACAGTGTTGATAATACCGAACAGTGCATAAAGTTCACAGTACTGAATGGGAAACTTTAAATGTGACATAATGATATTGGGTGAGATACGATGCAGGCAATAACATAAGTGCATATGTTTTAGTTTAGTGGTTTGGGACTAGGACTTTTTGGTCCTCTGGCTTCCAATGTTTTTGACTCATGACCCCACAATGTTGTGTATTCTTGAGTGAGTTGACTGATACCTTTCATCTAAGCACCACGCAGCAGTAGCCTAGTCACTCCCAGATACATTGTTGAAAACCATTGTTAAAGACTGGACCCCAGGGAAAGAAAAATATATGATTTTGATGGAATAAAATTTGAACGAATATCAGAAAGTAAGGTTTTCAGCTTGTTCTGTTGACAATTCTAAGCATGTATTTCAAACAGATTAGAAATTAATTTTTACATAGGTACATGATATCCAGGGAATAGGTTGTGTACTTTTGGCAAATGATCTCTCATTTGTTTGAAATCAGGGAAATGTTAATCTGTCAGGCCACCCTGTGTTTAATGAAATGCTGATTGGAGGTGCTTTAAAAGAATCTTCATAAGGGAATATAGAGGTAGTCTCAGGTGTAAGAGAAAACAAACGAAGTATTTTCTTCATTAGTCTTGGATGTGGGAAGATAAGATGCTTTTGTTTTAGCTCACCAGTCAGTAGCCATTGCAGCCAAGTTTGGAACCTTGTTCCAGGGTCAGAAGAAAAATTCCTATTAGTCTCATTGGATTTTAAATAAACACTCAAACTGGGAGTTGGAAACATCTGGTCCATGGGCTGACTATAGTTGATGCTATCATTTCCTCTATTCAAAGTCACTTTTTTTTTCTGTGCTACTCCTGGATAACAGAGTCGTGTGCTGACATTTGGCCCTCAACAGGAATAATAGTACACTTATCCACTCTTTGCAAGCAACTGTTTAAAATGCAGACTCATTTATTAAGAACAGGTACGGAGCTTTGACCACAACAAATGTTTGATCTCTTGCTTCAGCTTCAAAGCATCTCTTTCTCAAAAGTTGAAAGAAAATGAAAATTTCACTTTACATATGTGGGGAATAGTAAGTTTAATAGCCTGTTAAGTCATATAACACCCTGTCCTTCTGACACGTCCTAGCAGTAATGGAAGTGAAGCTGGGTTTTTGTAGTAATATAGGCTTTGTCCAAAATCTGATGCCACATCATGAAATCAAATAGTTGCAGCAGATCTATGTAAGTGATCTATGCTACCCTCCCCTGTACTGCTGTGACTTTAGTCTTAAGTCATCAACTGGACATCAGTGCTGTGCTGAGGCTGAACTACACACACACAGAGACAATCACAGTGTGTTCATCCTCGTGTGAGAGGGACATGGGCTTGCTGGTCTCTTTTCTTCATTGAAACCCATTGTGTACTGCTTCCTGTTCAAGTGTGCTGGTTTATAAAGCTGCCTGCTTAGACGTGGCCTCATTTACTTGATGTTACTATCACCAGATTTCATGTGGAAGACACAGATCAATCCATTGAGTAAATCAGTGGCTGTGTCTTATACCTTCCAGCAATAATATTTGGTGTAATGAAGAAAAAATTTATATAGTGTGTTGGTGGGGTAAAAAAAGGAAAAGGTTACAATCTTAAGTTAATTTTAAAATGGAGTTTCAAAATACAATTTTAAAAGAGTGGAAGGGAAATCATGTGTTTTTAATACAAGAGGTGGAACAACACATTGTTGCACATGCCATGTCCTTCAGGAGTGGAAGTGGCCTGCACAGGTTCTCCCAGAGATTTGTGCCACCTTACTTGTCAGGATAGTCAATGTGCTTCAGTAGCAGTCAGTGTACTGGTAAGTCATGCAAAAATAAAAGGGTTGGGGTAATTCTTTACTGATCTTGTAATTTGAGGAGGTTTTTCTTAATATTTTATGAGCTTGTATGGATTTTTAAACATTCATTGCCTATGTAGAAACTATAATATCAGAGGAGAAAACTCTTGTCTCTGGGCCTGTAATTAGACCTGTGATATAAAATGTATTTTCCAAACTAGGGTCCTGCATAGAGAGAACAAAACTGTTGAGCATTAAGCCAAGTCATATATAAATTTCCGGATATGCAAGTGCTGAATATTAATATTCAGTTTCACTGCAGCTGCAATTTCCAGATATGTGGAAATCTAACATGTTGAAAAATGAAAGTTTACTTTTGTATTTTCTAATTTACAGATAGGGAAAACAGGTGCCTATCTGCAGTTCCTCAGTATTTTGTCCCGAATGCTGATTAGACTGACAGAAGTGGATGTTTATGATGAGGAAGAAATCAACATTAGTAAGTTCCTAATATAAAGATATTCTGGAGACAATAGAAAATTTTTATGCTAAATTGAAAAGTGGTTGTCTGTATATTCTGTGCTGTTCACCTTTGCAATTACTTTACATTATTGAAATACTGTAAGAAAATTTTTTCTGTGGTCTTCAACTGATACTTAAGAATAATTTAGAAATTAGTCTTCCTCTCACTAAGAAAACAACATGCCTCTTTCTCTTAGGATGAGATCAAAAGAATTTATGTATATTAAATGATATTTACTGATTGTTTTTGAGTTTAGAATTGAAATGAACTTTTGTGGTAAAACTGTAAAAAGAATCAGTGAAATTTTGGTAGATTTTTACCATGAGTAGCAATATCATATTTTGTAAGTACATAAGACTACATGAGGGAAGAAAAGAGTTTTTGCTCTCTAATAGCTAATTTTAGTCCAAACATTCTTTACTTACAGCATATTACTTCCCTGTGTTTCCAGACATATTTCTGTAGCTAAGGCCTAGATTGCATAGAAAAATATGGGTGATATTTTATGGGCTATATGTAATTCTGCACTAAAAGTATGCCCACAGCCAGCTGTGCAGAATCTCAGGTGGATGCTACCTGCCTGCTAGCTGCCTCCATCAGACCCTGACTGGAAGCTGTTCAGTCATTTTACTGTGGGACTTCAGCTCCTGTCCCTGAGAGCTTTTTGGGGCAGTACCCAGGTGTCTTTCTCCAGAGTGAGCTATGCTTGAGAAAGAGGCAGCCATCCCCTAAGGCTGGAAAACCTGTGGAAAAAGTGACCAGTCTGCTAGCAGAGAGGTCTATGCAAAAATGCTTTGTATTTTTTGCAGGAGTTAAGAAAAACTTAGACCCAGTACATGAAGATAATTTTTAGAAGGCAGAGTTGCATTGAGGCACATTTGTGCAAAGGTGCACCTCTTGATGCATAATAATATTGCTTCATCAGAATGATGAAAGAAAAAATTAAACAGGAATAATAGGCATAGCAAAAACATCTACAGCAATATAAAGAGCTTTAAAAATTGTAATTAAAAATCCTTATTTTTCAATAATATCACAGACATAAAAGAAGAATCTGATCAATACTACTATCAGCCTGGAGATACATGGCCAGATTTGGAGATGTTTAAGAAGATGCCTTTCGACTACACTATCCATGACCCGAAATACGAAGATGCAAGTCTGATTTGTTCAAAGCTTCAGACTCTAAACAATGAAGGTTAGAATTTGAAAAATCTAGATTGGTACACATATGTGTTTATTTGTGAGAATCCTGTTAAACTTTTAAGCAGAGTTAAACTGTCAGAATTGCACTTGACTAAGTAATTGTGAAAAAAAATTTCAGGTTTGCCAGATGAAGTACCAGAGTATGAGCCTTATAAATATTTTCTGGAGTTTTATATGGGTAGTTCTTTATTAAAAAAGCTCTAATTCCACAATAAGTTTGTGTATTTTAATGGGTTTATATAGTAGCATTGTCCTGCTCTGTAGCAATGAAGTGACTTGTGTGGGTGAAGTTATTTATGTACTTGTAAGTGTTTCTAGGTTTATTTTTTAGGGTTTGGTTTAGGTTTGGAAAGCATGAGATGCATATGTCCAGATCTAGATTCCTAGACTATTGAGGTATGAATTAATCCTCTGAATTAGCCAGCTGGACATACACAACCCCATGGGAGTGGGTAGGACGTATCCAAGCATGCTGAGGGAGATGGCCAGCATCGTTGTGAGGCTACTATCATTTTTTAAAGGTAACAGCAATTAGCAGAAGTTCCTGATAGTTGGATAAAAGGAAAATGCCATGCCCTTTCTCTACAGGGCAGAAGAAGGACTGAAGCAATTACAGCCTACTCAGCCTACCCTCAGTCCTCAAAACAATTATGGAACAAAATCTCCTGTAAGCAATATCCAGACCTGTGAAGGAAAGTGTTTTGGAGCAGCTAGAATGCATCCATCATAGGCAAATTGTGATTACTGAACATGACTGCATTTTATGATGAGATGACTGGCGTTATTGAGCACTGGTTTTATCTTGACTTCAGCAAGGTTTTTGTCACTGTCTTCTGTGATATCTATACAGCCAAAACTGGACAGAGATGGTTTGGGTAGGTGGATTGTAAAGTGAGTGGGAAATTAGCTGGACCGCTGAACTCAAAATATGATGAGTGGCACCAATCTGACTGGGTACACATGGCTATACTCAGAGACTGATAGTGAGGCAAATGCTGTTTAAGACTGCCATTAATAACCTGGTCAAAGGGACAGAATGCAATGTGAGCAAGTTCATGGATGATGCTGAGTTGGAGGAGCAGTCAATATGCAGGAGGGTAACACTGCTGTTCAGAAAAACCTTGACAGGCTGGAGAAGTGGAACCTCCAGGAAGGAACCTCAGAAGCAGGAACCTCATATAGTTCAACAATCATGCCCCTTGAACTTGGGATGGAATAATGTCATAAGGCTCTTTTTTACTATTTCTTACTTTTGTGAGCATTCAGCTGATAATAGCAACAGCAACAATGGCAATTTTAATTATCTGGCTTTGCTTACACCTCAGTGTTATGTGGAATCTACAGAATTATAATCATGCACTTGCAGGTATTTCTTCATAGTTCCCTTTGCTGTACGTAAGAATTTATAAAGCATACTATGCTCAGAATGAATTCATAGATTGTTTTGTATGTGCTTAATATTGACATTTTTCCTAGAAGCTGATTACAGTGACAGAAAAGGTTTGTCACAAGGGAATACATTCTAGTCCTGGATACATGTTACACTTGTTTCTTTTTTTAATAGACAGATCACTGAGCAGGAGACAGGAGGATATGTATACGTGCCGTCAAACAACTAGGATGAGACTGTCCAAGTATGCAGCATATAACACCTACCATCACTGTGAACAGTGTCATCAGTATATGGGTTTCAACCCCAGGTACCAGGTAAGATTTCCAAGTGCTACCCTGCAGATCAGAAACCAAAGCAGACACATCCCAAACACAGTTCGTGTGCATTTACTGTATTTAAATTGTCTTAGAAGTTATATGTGTGTGTTGAAAACAGCTGATTTACAGATTTTGGTATGTCTTGAGGTTTGCCTGCCTTAACTAGACTGCAGGTTTGGGGACATCAGAGAACTGATCTTTGCCTTATTTACACTAGTTTATTCAGTGCTGTAATCTGCATGGATACTACCAGTTAAAACTACTTTCCCAGTAAACTTTTCCCACTGGGACTTGCTTACATTTTCACCTGAGCAACTGCAACAGGTGCTACTTCTGATACAGGAGTAGCAGCATAGAGTAGTCTATATGTGGTATACAACCTGTTATTACTCAGAATAGCCATCTAATTTCCTTTCTATCGAAATGTGAGGAAGAAGGTATCAGCAATGTAAATACTGGCTTTTATGTGTCTATTTCTGAAAGCCAAGGGTGGCCTGTAAATATTGGTACCATCTGCAAGACAAAGCTGAAGCAATGGTTTAAAAAGAGGGAACACTTTAATATGTTTGGGGGGTTTGTGGTGTATGTTCTAGCCTAGGGGATATTGCTTAACACCTATGATTAATGAAGTAAAATCTAATGCCATAGAGTAAGTGATTGTAATCTGTTTAGTAATGTTATAAATACATATAAACTACACTGAGACCTTGTAGTTTGCCTCTAACTGGAATAATCCAATTTGGTTTTTCTGTCCTCAGCTTTATGAGTCCACTCTGCATGCATTTGCCTTTTCCTATTCTATGCTGGGAGAAGAGATCCAGCTGCATTTTATCATTCCAAAATCCAAGGAGCATCATTTTGTCTTTAGTCAACCAGGAAGACAACTAGAAAGCATGAGGCTACCACTAGTCACAGATAAGGTAGATGGATAATTATATTTATGGCCATATATGGGAGAGAGACACCACCAATTTTTGAAATTTGGTGAAGTCATATTCTCAATACTTCTACTCCTGCTGTCAAGAGATAATGACGATAATAATGTACTGTATTTTCTCCCAGAAAGGGACACAAGAAGCAAAACTGTTGAGACACCAATAAGCTGTTTCTTCTGCTCATTATCAAGGTTGATCCTTTGATATAAACACTCTTACCTTTGACTAAAGGTCTTTGGTTGTGGATATAAGATGTTAAAGTGAGAATGGTTTCAAAAATGAACATTATTTCAGTTATCATACCATTACTAAAAAGAAGCAATTATTTTCTGTAGAGAAGGACAGTGGAATATCCTGTCTTATTCTGCATAATTGCTGCAAGATTGAAAAATGCTGTGGGATATAAATATAGCCACCCGAAAATATTTTTCTCAATCCACTTTAAATCTCCATTCTTGAACTCCAATGGATCAACTCCACCATTTTGCGCTTTGGCAGTTTTAAATCTGGAGTGCTTAATTGTGAGGGCTTTAGAGAGCCTCTGTAAAGAGGCATGCTTTCATTCTGGGTCCTTAACGACCTTAGTAGGAACCAGGCTGCAAAAAACTTGCCAAGACTGGAACAGTCCTGGACATCTGTAGAAACAGAGCTTTCACTGTACTATCAAGGTGGAAATACTGAGTGAGTTTCAATGCATTCAAACTTGGGAGCTGGCCAGTCAGAAGTGTTGTACTGTAGTTTTGGTGTAAGATGTTTCTTACTGTCTTTTGTCGTATGGACCTAAACTGTTGTCCAGGTCTAGCCTCACGGTCCCTGAGCACTTGGCATGTCAAGGTTAGGAGTCCTGTCCACTCCACCATACTCTCACCAGTCGAATAAGCTAAGTGATAGAGTTCTCTTTATCCCAACTTCTATAAAAGTTGTTTATTTTCCTAGTAAGGTAATTTAAAATGTGTCAGTTTGTCCAGTGTCAGCAACTCTAATTTATTCTCCTGAAGAATCTGGTTCTCTTTCTCTTTGCTCTCCAGCTTAATACAGAAACTCACACTTCTGTTTACTTACAGAGTGAAGATTACATTAAAAGCCCCACTTTCACTCCCACCACTGGTCGCCATGAACATGGACTTTTCAATTTATATCATGCAATGGATGGAGCCAGTCATCTGCATGTTTTAGTTGTCAAGGAATATGAAATGGCCATATATAAGAAGTATTGGCCCAATCACATTATGCTTGTTCTTCCAAGCATTTTCAACAGTGCAGGAGTTGGTAAGTATAACAAAAAGTTCTCAGAAATGCAGACACAGGACTTTGGCTCTTGAGGTGTTGTTACCTAACAGTGAAATGTAGACACAAAACTTGTAGCTAGCATGTCTGATCTGGTGATCTGGCTTCCCTTTGAAGACAGTGTATCACAGATGAAGATGCAGTTCACTTAATCCAGGTCACCTCAAACAAATTCGATTAATTGAACCCTAGAAATACTTAATTTCTTTTATTGACTTTAGAAGGAGCTGAGGGTGTTAACTCTAATGGAGTTACCAACTCTATTTCCTCATGGAAATGTTATGTACGATTTGCATGGGCAGTGATGCACTGATTAGGGACATTCCTTAGGTAGGTTCTGCTGATACAACATCTGTGAGATATTCAGCCTTTTGCTTGCGCTGCTGGAACAACTTATATACCACAGGAGTGACAAACATTCAGAGCAGATCATCAGGGAAAATTTCCCATGTCATTCATTTGGTCATTCGGCATGTCTCGTGGTTTGCACTAAGAGATGCTCGTGGACCAAATATCTGTCAGATTAAAAGAATTAGTGACTAAACCCTTAATACAATAGCAAATCTTTACCATAAAAGTCAGACTTCATTTTGTATGCTTCCCAATGTGTTTCTGTATGTCAATTGCTTGGGAAGTGACAAAGTTAAGTTGGCTCTGGGGAGCGTTAAGATGTTAAAACCTGAAGAGTGATTCATACCTTTGCAAAAATACTCACTTCAAAAAGGCTTCTGGGTTAAAAGCAAACCATTTCTGCCCCTACGTTTAATATGATGGTTTATGTCACTGGTTGCAGGTGCTGCACACTTCCTGATAAAAGAGTTGTCTTATCATAACCTGGAGCTTGAACGAAATCGGCAGGAGGAGCTGGGGATAAAACCCCAGGATATTTGGCCTTTCATTGTCATTTCAGATGACTCCTGTGTTATGTGGAATGCAGTAGAGGTTGACTGTTCAGGAGACAGGAAAAGGTAAATCTTTTAACCTTTCACTGCATATAATTTTGAAATTATGTTTGATATACTACAACTTCTACCCTGTACAAACAGAGAATTATATTTGCCTAAGGAGAGTACTTTCCTAGATACTCACCTTTGCACAGCACACAGTGGAGTGCCTGTTTTTCATTCCTGTCCCCTGAGGATTTACATGCCCTGCAGCCATTTCTGTATTGCTTGACACTGGTTCAAGCTAGAGTTACTTGAAGTGCAGATTTCAGCCTCTGTAAACAATTCCTGATACGCGGGGCAAGCATAGACATTCACATACACATTTTTCACCAGATTTTTCTAAGGAAGTTAAGACAATTCTGTGCAAATTGTGCAACTGATTGGCTATTTTGTCAGTCCCAGTCTGTGTGGCTCCTTTAGTGAGATGCTCAAACTAGTATTTTTGTTTTCATTATTTTAGAACACTTTTTGGACTAGGTATTTTTATCTATTCCCACAACGGTGCTATGCAGGATTTACAGTAAACTTTCGGAGAGAATGAAACTCAGTGAAAATTGAGATTTATGGACTCTAGGAGTGGGCTGGAAGGATCTTAATACTTTATGCTTAAATTATGGCACAAAATCAGCAGCCTCCCCCTGAGTCATTTGGAATATTATCTGGGTAACTTTAAAAGTTTAGATATCTGAGTGAATATGTTGAAAGATCTAGACCTAAGTTTCAGATCTGTCATACCAATCCCCACTACATAAGTACCAGTTAATTTTAAGTTTCTACTAGAATGAGAGAAAAAAAAATGTAGTAAATTAAGGCAGCACTGGAGTTACCTACCTGTTATTCTTAACAACTTTCACCTGATAGGTATTGCTCTTCAGCTGAATGAGATTCTGAATGTTCTCTATATACTTAAAACTAACACATTTTCATAATTATTGTAGTGACTATACGTGGACTGAAAGAAATGTTTCCTTGAAGCAAATTCTGCAACATATTGAAGCAACTCCCAATGTCACTCATTATGCCTTGATTGGGATGAGGAAATGGTCCAGTAAAACAAACAGTGCTGAGATGAAGGAACCATTCTCCTGCTGTCATGTGCATGACTTCATTATGCTGAATGTGGATCTGACACAGAATGTCCAGTACAATCAGAACAGGTAAGTAAATCAGTAGCACCTTCAACAGAGATGGTGAACCAAATATAGGAAGTTTTACTAAAGCTCTTGGTTTTTTAGGGAGGTTGTGAATGAAATGCAGGCAGATTTTTTTTGCTTACTGGTGATTTAAATCCTTCCCAAGTTGCCAGCTGTTGGAAAAAGACATTAATTTCCATAGTTCCAAATGAAACGGTCATATTTGAATTACAGGGTAAACACACTGAGCAGTGTGCCCTGCAGTATTGGTTTACTCCAAGTGGCCTTTTGGTAAATTCTGTAGAGGTTGTGAATGAAATGCAGGCAGATTTTTTTTGCTTACTGGTGATTTAAATCCTTCCCAAGTTGCCAGCTGTTGGAAAAAGACATTAATTTCCATAGTTCCAAATGAAACGGTCATATTTGAATTACAGGGTAAACACACTGAGCAGTGTGCCCTGCAGTATTGGTTTACTCCAAGTGGCCTTTTGGTAAATTCTGTAGCTCCTGCAGAATTTACCAAGTGGCCTTTTGGTAAATTCTGTAGTTCCCCTCCTGCACACTTACCTGCACTCCCTTCCAAAGGAGACAAGGAGACAAGGCATGGATTAATGGCGCATAACCAAGTCTTGTTCTGATATATATAGCTGGGCTTTTTACGTGAGTAGCACAACCCTGGAGCATACTACATGTGTGCTCATCAGGACAATCAGAAGAAAAGAATAAATAAATCTTGTTGACACTGGTGATTGTTTATCACATTCAGCTGTCTCAGAAATCTCACTTTTTCATTTTTTGTGCCACATATCAAATTTTAATCAAATTTCAATTTTGTCATGCACAGTTACCAGAACTGTATTTGGTAGATACATCATCTCACAGAATTCACTGATCTGTGTGAAATAAACTGTGGGTTTAGCCCCATTTCTGAGGGACAAGCATTTATTACAACAGAATGAAGTATATATCACTAAAGGTGGGATTCACTTGTCTGAAGCTGGTCTTTAGGCACCTCAGAATATGCAAGATGTCCATCTAGGGCTGGCAAGTATGATATGAAAGCTACATGTGGTTTTCTGTAGGCTAGATGGGGTACTCCAGGTAATCTAAAATGGCTCTGCACACCTAAACTTAGGAAACTGAACATCAGTCTCTGTGCTTCTCAGAAGAACTCTTATAACTCAGGAAGATATCTTTTGAAGTCTGAGTTTACTCATAACTGCATGGAAGCATTCTCCTTTCATTATTCTGTGGATAAACAGGTGATCTATATTTCTATTGTCACCAGCCTGACACCTTACAAGAGCATTTTGAACTCGCTCCCATACAGCTCCTAGTACAGAGCTGTGCTCCCAGGCTGCCTAACTGTATTACCTTATGAAGGACTAATGGAGACAGTGACAGTAAAGCAAAATGATATGAGTACAGACAGCAGTGTTAAAATGTCAGGAATGCAAGATCACACCATGTCTTTAAAACACACATGGCTCATGGTAATCCTCTGTGTGGGTGCTTTGAGTCTCAAGTATTGTCTGACATTCCGAGCCTTGGCTGACAAGGAAAAAGGTACATTTTTAAACAAGGAGACACTGACAGTCAGGGATCCCAAGTAACAATGTAAATATTGCGAAGATCAAAGACAAATCTGTAAAGCCTAACATTAAACACCATGTCTTTCTCTGATGGCAACTGTTGCATTAATTGCTCAGCTGTCTTAAATTCAAGCCCTTGATGCCAATCCAGTAGTTCTGCAAATCATCCTGTTCCCTTTGTAATAAATACATTCAAAATGGAGAAGTGAGTCTGAATTTTCTAAAGGATAGAGTATTTGAATTTAGTCAGCTTTAGGAGTTTACCTTTATTCCATTCTATCATATTTTTTGAAATAGGTCAAATTTAGCTCAGTGATGTTTGGCCTCATTCTGCTTAATTTATTCCTATGTCTCAGCAGTTCTCTTGCATTAAAAAAAAGACTCCTTGTCTTCAAATAGTTTTGTCTCTAACATTAAATGACATTATTTCTGTAGAAGAACAATATAAAAATTACTGGATATTCATATTCTGAGGGGAAATGTGTAATCAAATGCTTGTGTGCATTTGACAAATCAAATGTACAGTGTGATCCATTTCTTTGGAAGTCAAAGGAATTCTTTTGCTTGACCTTGTTTGGGGTAGTAACATATGTAGCTATTTTGTATGACTGTACTATTGTAGTAAAAGGCAAAGAAAATATTTTAACTCCAAGGTCTTTTCCCTGGCAATTTTCTGCCTTTCCACTTTATGTTTCTGGTCCTTTCCCTCCCTAAGTACTTCCCTCCCTCATTCTGATCCTCTTGAACTCATGCTAGCTTAGTTTATTATTACAAAGCTGAAGCCTCTTTCACTGACTGATAGGCATTGGTGGAGGGTCAGTATGTTTGACACCTGTCCTTTCTATGGTGCCAGTCAAAGACCCTGAGTGCTTGTATTTGTCAGTGTGTGATGAGAAACATTCCTCTGACCAGCTCTCATTTTGTCCTTTCCAGATTTACGTGTGATGATGTTGACTTCAACTTGCGTGTCCACAGTGCTGGCCTTCTCATCTGTCGGTTCAATCACTTCAATGTCATGAAAAAGCAAATTGCAGTAGGAGGACAACGATCCTTCCACATTAAGTCTAAGGTGGGAACTGAGACCTCTGTTTCATTGTAGTTCAAATGCTGTTTTCCTTTTTTGTACCTTTTAACCAGGAAACTTGAGGTATTTTGGTGCATCACCTGTTGCCAGTAATAGGGTTTGTCTGCCATGTGGGGCTTTTAAAAATTATATGTTACTGAAATCCACAATATTATTTTAATAAATAATACTTTTGATAATTAAGCAATAATAATGTAATGATAAATTAATATTTTCCATTTAAAACTTTGAAAAATATCTCAAGTGCTTTTTTTATGAACCCAGTAACCATTCACTATATGTTTTTTCTGTACAGCTATTGAATTGCTCATCTTCGTGTGACTTCATGTGTAGGAATGCTTCAAAGAAGAAACCTTAAAATTATAAATGCAAACATAATTCTATGAAACTGTGAAACTTTTTTGCTAGCAGATATTTTTGGCTGAATGACTTTGCTTCTTATGTAAATCTTAGATTTGTAGGGCAGACATATGTTTTATACAAACCAAAATTCAGAGAAGTACAACTTCATTGATCAAGATTGATCTGTACCAGAAATATTTTTTCCTCATAGGTATCTGACACTTCAGTTTCAATCTCCCCTGCGCAGTACATTTGTGCTCCTGACAGCAAGCACACCTTCCTAGCAGCACCTGCACAGTTGCTCCTTGAAAAGTATCTCCAGTATCACAGCCATCGCTTCTTCCCGCTCTCACTGAAGAATTATAGGCATCCAGTGCTATCTGTGGACTGTTACCTTAACTTAGGACCACAGGTATTGAGCAAGATATTTCACAAGCAGCTCTAGAAATGTATGGGCTATGTTTTGGGTGGGTTTGTTGGTGCATTCCTTAATAATAGCTACACAGCCTTCAAAGGATCAGGTGTTAGGTCCCTCCTGTAATGTCAAAATCAAATTCTTAGTCCCATAGAGATTGTCAGAGAATTCAACTAATGAACATAAAGAACAATCCCAGAATTGTCCTAAATACTAATATAGTCTGTGAATTAGATTAGATTCTGAATTAACATGGAGTACATTTTTCTTTAAGAAGTGTTTTCTGAATCTGCTATTATTTGGCTCTTCCTACAGCAAAGTTCTTCCACAAGAGTGTTTTACAAATACTATCTAACCCTTAGAAAGCACTTCAAAAATACAAATGTTTTAGTTCATTTTTGACTGATAATCTGAAACAGAGAAGTAAATGCCAAAAAACCAGTCAGAATGGGAGAGGCTGACATTAGATCTCAGGAGCTGTTGGCTCACTGATGAGTTTGAATCTAAAGCCAAGGTTACACTTCAGCTCAAATGTAGATGGATAGAAGCACAGTACTACGGTGGTGGTGTTCAGGAGGAAGAAATTCACCTGACTTTTCACCTGACTTGGATACTAAATGAAATTCAGTTTTGCTGGGTTTACTGAACTCCTTTACCAAAGTATCTGTGTAATGACCTTCCCATATATGCTGCTCCCAGAACATTCTGAACTATATCTTTTAATTTCCTTTCTGGCTGAAATCTTACAGGCCTCTATTTCCACCATGTTTGGAAAAACAAACTCTGTGGGAGGGTGTTGTACTCTTACTATCTTCATCTATTGTATCTTTTCAGCTCTAACCCATTTGGCACATGAAATAAATGAGTTCAATTTGGTTCTGTAATTGTTACCTGAGCTGGAATATGATACAATAGGATTGAAGGAATATGGAAAAGGCATCCTAGGACAGAGTTTCGGGTGCTGTGGTTCGACATTCCTCCACTGAATCATGCTGATTTATGCCAGATGAGGATCTGACCCAACTAAGTACAGTGGCACTTTGGAAACAAAGCCTTGTATGGAAGATTCCTTGATTTAGATTCATAAGTCCCAAAGGAGCGCTACTAATATTCCTGGTCCCTAGTGGATTTGGGGAGTAGCCATAAAAACAAACTAGACAAGAGAAAACTTTGCACATTGGTCTTATGCACAGCTCTACTGACTTGAGTAATCCTATCATAATGTAAATGAAATTTGGAATTTCTAAGGGTTCTGTTCATGTCTGACTGCACAGTTACTACACTTACCTATGAATAAACTGTGCTGGGCATGTCACAGCATTGTGGTTGTGGGGAGCTATTGTTACTGCAGCTTTCAAACTCTGTCACATCTGAACCTCAGGATCATTGTGGTTTAGTCCCAGCCAGTCACCAAACATCACACAGCCCCTCACTCACTCCCTCATCAGCAGGATGGGGGAGAGAATCAGAAGGGTAAAAGCTAGAAAACTCATGCTCAGTGATAAAGACAGTTTAATAGGGAAAGCAAAAGCTCCACACACAAGCAAATCAAAACTAGGAATTAATTCACTGCTTCCCACGGGCAGGAGGTGTTCAGCCATCTCCAGGAGAGCATGGACCCATCACACGTAACGGTTACTTGGGAAGACAAATGTTTTCACTCCAAATGTCTCCCCTTCCTCCTTCGTCCTCCCACATTATATACTGGACATGATGTCATGTGGTATGGAATATCCCTTTGGTCAGTTTGGGTCACCTGTGTCTCCTCCCAACCTCCTATGCACCCTCAACTTCCTTTCTAGCATGTCAGTACAGAAAGCAGAAAAGGCCTTGACTCTGTCTAAGCTCTGCTCAGCAATAACAAAAATGTATCCATATTATCAACCCTATGTTCAGCACAAATCCAAAACATAGACCCATACTAACCACTGTGAAGAAAGTTAACACCCCCTGCAGCCAAAACCAGTACAATGATAATAATAGTAATGAATAGTAACAACTAACACATAGTTATGAATAGTGCTTTATATATATTTTTTATTAAGTAGAGGGATATTTTGGAAGGAACTATAAAGCTCATGATATTTGGAGTTGGAAAGCAAATCTGAATTTGGATCAGGTGCAAATACTGAAAATTTGATATCAAGTCACCTTTATATAGAAGCTTGAAAATGTTTTGGGGTTTTTTTCACTCTCTCTCAATCAGATTGCAGTTTGCTACGTGAGTTCTCGCCCTCATTCTCTGAATATCAGTTCCTCTGGTTTGACGTTCAGTGGTCTCCTGCTGTACCTCTGTGACTCCTTTGTTGTAGCTAGCTTTTTGAAGAAGTTTCATTTTCTAAAAGGTGAGCTGAAATAATTTTATTACAAAGAATTAGATTACATGGGCTCTGGGAATCTGGGGAAAATGTATTTTCTATGAAAATATATATGCATATATATGTATAGACATGTATTCATATTTGTCTTTATATATCCCACCCAACTTTGATACTTGATCATGCTGCTTCTGTAATGCAGTAAACTGGTATATAACAGCTCTGCAGATTTCTAAGTGCAGAGAAATTTGGATCCTTATCATTATGCCTACTGTACATGCACAACTCTATGTTTGAAAACTGAGTATTTAGGACTTACGCATGAAAATTCTATTGTGTTCTTGTAGGGTTTCTAATTTTTGATAGAAAATGAGTAATGGACAAACTCCATCAAAATCTATTTACTATCCTTGGAAATAGAAGCTGGCTCATTTAACAGTTATTCCTAATAACCAGTTTCTCCATGTAACCCTTATGACAGTGGATAGCAGTGGAGATAAATAACTTCCATTTGTATTGCAGGCAGTCACATTGAAAGCTCCTTTTGGATTGTTCTGAAATTATCTTAGGCATTTAGTGCTCTGGGGGTTTGTTTCACTCACAACTATAACTGTCACTGGAAGAAAAACAGGGTTGTCAGTGCCTTCTTGAAACAGGCACAGTTGTTATGAACCACTGTGTTCTTTGTTGCAGTTAATACAGAGGCTATCAGTCAGTCTCATTTTGCATAAACCAAGCAATTTTTATAGCATGTAGCACAAAGTGGATTTGCTTTGGGATTTCTTCATATCCCTTGTCAGTCTACTTGATTTTCTAACCTGCCACATGAGCACTAAACACCGCATGACTCTCTGTCTTGTTTCTTTTTATTATATTCACAGTTTTTTTTCTTATCTTGGGCATTTCCACTTACTGTCTGTCATTCAGATTACTCAGTGCTGGCGAGGTAATTATTTCCTCTTAATTGAGCACTTTTCTGAGAAGCCAGGAAGCCATGCATGCAAGCTAAAATGGTATCAGCATGCCAGTCAGGACAGTTGATATTGATTACTAAAATATGATAATTTTTGCTTTGCCATTCTGCCAGCACATTAGCTTTCCAATCCAGAAAACACTGAAGTTTGTAATTACTTTAAAGGACATGTTTAAACCATTTTTGGTCAGCAAAGCCCAAAGAGCTCGGTCAGCTATCAAAGTGATGGACTTGTGCATTTTGCTGAGTGAGGATTTCACTCAACAAAGGTAAAGATCAGAAGGGTTAGAACAAGAACAGATGTAGAACTTTGTCTTGTTTGCTCCTTAGACCTCCTTAGACCGGACAGTTCTTACCCTAAAGAGTAGGGAATTAGTCCTTATTACTAGCAGAATACTGGGTACCTCAAGTTACACAAGAAGATCCTGACAAATAGGGAGCTGAACATAGCTCTCCTCAGTCCTACATGAGTGGCTTAAATTTCTCCCAAGCCCATTTGTAATTCCTGATGTGAAAGTGGTGGAGCTCTACATGCCAAAGGGTGATGGGAGCTGGGGAAAGGAATACTTACATGAGTTTCTTTTTCTAGCAGAATACTGGGTACCTCAAGTTACACAAGAAGATCCTGACAAATAGGGAGCTGAACATAGCTCTCCTCAGTCCTACATGAGTGGCTTAAATTTCTCCCAAGCCCATTTGTAATTCCTGATGTGAAAGTGGTGGAGCTCTACATGCCAAAGGGTGATGGGAGCTGGGGAAAGGAATACTTACATGAGTTTCTTTTTAACTGTTTGCTTAGGTGCCACCCTATGTGTGATTTGCCAAGATCGCAATTCTCTTCGCCAGACTGTTGTCCGGCTAGAACTGGAAGACGAATGGCAGTTCCGACTGCGAGATGAATTCCAGACTGCCAATGCAAAAGAGGACAGACCACTTTTCTTCCTGACTGGGCGACATATTTAATTGAATAGAGACAAGTTTCCTGAATGATACAAGAGACTAATTGCCACCATGTCATGAAATTTCTTCTGAGAGGCTCTGTTTTCTGAACAGAAACAGGACTGTTTTCCATTGTTTATTAGAATGATATCTAATCAGACAATTTAAGATCATATTTCCAAAAATTGACAAATTAATTGTCTGATGGAAGTCATTCCTAATTCCTGAGAGAGAGACAGAAACTTACTAGTCCACATGGTGGAAATCAGATCAGAAGAGAGGTCGATGAGTGCACTTCTGTGACAAAAAGACCACATTCAAGATCAGAAGGGAAAGTTTTAGGAAACCTTTTGTACAATCCAGAAATAGGAAATGTAAATTTAGAAGCAGATTTTGTTTTACAAGTCTTATTTATCTAACAGTGGGCACCAGGCGACAGGAGTTGTTACAGTTTTGTAGTACTCTGCTACTGATTGATCCAGGTAGGCTTTTTATATGAAGATTTGTAAACTATATTTCTTTAATAGTAGGAACTCAGCTGGAGCCTTAATTTTTGGAATAGGTACCACACTGGATGGTTTTACCATGAAGGACTCTTGGAATAGAAGCATAATTATATGTCTGGTTTTATTAGCATAAGGAAGAGAGTTAAGAAAGTAGAATCTAAAATGAGATCTGAACATTTAAACCTGAAACTGATATCAACTGAAGAGATCAAACAGTGAGACTGATCTATAAAATGCTTATTAGGTCTAGAACACTGGTGGTTTCTGACTGAATTGTTGAATTGACTGCAGACTTCAAGCTGGGCCCAGTGCACTCAGGAAAGCAGATGAGACAGTTCTAAAACACTCCCAATACACTTTCTGGGGATATTTTCTTGCCAAGGTGCTTCAAAAGAGTGAGAAAATGAAGACTACATCACTGAGGAATTCAGGTGGAAACCTAAAAACATGTTCTAGAATGGCACCAGGCATTGTGATATTTCATGCATTCTAAATGTGAATCAGTGGTCACTGTCTTTGTGTAGCTTTTTGGAAATACCGAGTTGCAAACTTCGTGTTCGTCTTTATAGAGACAGTGTTAACTTCACTCTGTCGAGGTGTAGGAAGAATGAGTACAGATGTTGTCAAAGAACATCTAATAATTGGGCAAGCCTTTCTTGCTGGATACAACAGTGGGAGGATCATTGATTTTATACTGATGAAATGCTATTAGGTGGTTAAATCTGTTACAGTACTGGCCTTGGAATGCAGACATCAATATGATTATGCCAAAGAGCTAATTTAGGTTCATTTGCAGAGGAAATATAAGTTCAGTAAGTTTGAGAGACATGGATTGCTACCTACAAGGTAACTGCTAGCAGTCAGTATGTTTCTATATTTCATTGTCCGTGTTTCAGAGTGAGAATTCACTTTAAGTTTTGGGAAGGAATGTGAGAATTTTCCTATGTAAATAGTATTACCTGTTCAGTTTCCACCAGTTGTTTAGTTAATTTAAACTTTTTTAAAGTGTGACATTTATGTCTAATCCATTCTTTATAAATAAAGTTCATGCTGCATGGATGTCTGTCTTCATGAGGTACAGGACCAACAAGTACACTTTTGTAGTGAGGAAAAAGCAAAGGAAAAACAGTTGGCTGAAAGGAGTCAATATAACTAAGAAATGACCAGAAGTGATCAAGAGAAAATACAGTACTGCATAATGGCCTACAACATAACACAGCCTCAGAGGTATAAGAGGTTTTGGAAGAACTAAAGACAGTGGGTTGAAATCTCCTTTCCTGTAACCAAATATTCAAGCAACTTATACCAAGTATCTGTTAACTTTTCATGAAGTTTAGACCTGGATTTGCTTTGCAAGTCTTTAGACACCCATTTTCTCCAAGAAACTGAAAAAGGCCTAAAGTATTGTCATGGTTTAACCCCATCCAGCAGCTAAGCATCATGCAACCACTCCCTCCCTCCCTTATCTCTCTCTTAGTCCCACTTTGCCCCTGCCTCCACCTCAGTGGAACGGGGAGGAGAATCAGAAGTAGCTTGCAGGTTGAGATAAGAACAGTTTAATAACTGAAAACAAAGTAATGTATAATACTCATGGTAAATGATGATGATGATTAATATTATTATTAATAATAATAATGGAAGAGGAGAGGGAAAGCAAAGATAACTGAAAGTAATGTATAATACTCATGGTAAATGATGATGATGATTAATATTATTATTAATAATAATAATGGAAGAGGAGAGGGAAAGCAAAGCTATACTGAACTAGTGATGGGCAATACAACTGCTCACCACACGCTGACTGATGCTGGACCCAGAACCACCACCCCTTCCTGGTAACCCCCCCCAGTTTATATACTGGGCATGACATTCTGTGGTGTGGAATATCCCTTTGGCCAGTTCAGATCTCCTGTTCTGGCTATGCTCCCTCCTGGTTTCTTTTGGGTACCTTCTCACTGGCAGAGCATGAGATATAAAAGAACAAAAAGTCCTTGATTTAGGATAAGCACAACCTAGGAACCAAACCATCAGTACATTGTCAACATTATTCTCATTCTGAAACCAAAACACAGCACTATACTAGCTACTGAGAAGAAATTAACTCTATCTCAGCCAAAAAAGGACAAGTATATAATAAAAAACAAATAAAATTAAGTCACATCCTTTCTTAACATTTTCTTTTGCCAGAAAGTCATCAAAATTATGACAAAATACAGCTGTTAGTCAACTGAAACCAACATACTCTTGAGTGTTGTTTCATCATTAACCTTTTGCTCCGTGAATTACCTACATACTGTATCCTCTCTACAGGATAGGAGTTTCAGGGCCTGGCCTATTGCGTGACCAAGCACAATCATTCTCCATCATGGAATATATACATAAGCAGTTGTGTATGGTGAACCTTGCATGCACAGGCCATGGTCTGATGGAGCTCAGCCTGTTATAATACCAGATATGCACTTACTGTGTGACAAAAATGCAGGTAGTTCCCATCATACAGCCAACTATGTACCCACATGGTAGAAAACCACAGCATTTTTTTCACAGGATGACAAAAATGTAATGGTGGATGAGTTAGGGAGAGCCACTCTCTAGAGCTCCATCCAAAAGTTTTTTCATCTGTGACTTAGTTTACAAGCCAAGCCCCCCCAGAGTGTAAGTTTTCATGGAGAGGGACAATATAGGGATTGTGTCCAACTGGGACTCTGAAGAGATAGATGAATACAGATAAACAATAGTGATAAATAAAGGCAAATCTGTAGCATTCTGTGCTGCAACTCCTGGTGCTGTAGTTGTTTACCACAGGTGCATGTGTAGGCCTGGGAACCCAGGTCCTAGTTCCACACTTCTCTTGTCTTCCCTTTTGTGGGAAGGAATTACTGGCTTTCAGTCCCAGTGACCTTTGCAAAAAAACTTGGCCCATGCCCATCACGTACACAATCTTTTAAGCATTTCCTTTCTGGTTTTGGATGCAGCAAGAAAGTAGAGCTCTCCACCACATGGATGGACTTGATAATGTAGTAGCAAACAAACTAATAGACATTGCCTGCATGCTTTTATAGACTTTTTATAGCCTCTACCTCCTCCTCTAGTATCTTTCATGCTTGCTGATTGTCATCCACTTTTATCACCTGCAGATAGTATTGTTAGCATGTTCTGTATTGTGTGTCAGAGTGAAGTAGTGCATGACTCAGCTTCTGCAAAAGACAGTATCCAAATATAGAGAAGGTTACTGGGAAGGTGACATTATTTTCCTTCTTACCAATCTCTCTTCTCTGTCAAAGCACTCTTCACAATAACTTATGCACTAATGTCTGGTTTCTAATCATCTGGGCATTATAGATGATCTGAACACTAGAGGATGTAAGGGATTTCATCTCTCCCTAGCAAGTGCCTTCCATTGTGGTGATAGAGAATGTACAGATCTTAGCTCCCACTCTGCATCTAAAAGCAGTTGCTAAATATTGCTTGAGAGGAGGCTGCTTTTTAAATGCTGAAATGTCTCTCAGACAGAAAGAAAGAGGTACAAGCAATAGGCAACCAACCCAAAAAAAGGGTCAGGGGAGAGCTTTACAGGGCAGAAAATGGAGAGCAAGTGAAGTGGGGGCTATGAATGGAGGCAGCAGCATGGAAGAAGCTGGGTGCAGTAGGAAGTGTTTGCAGGGGTACAAGGACCCTGGGCAGGGACTGTATACAGTGTGAAAGAAAATGGACTTCCATGGCAGTTGGAATTCATGTGAATGGTATGAGCATCCAACTCAACAGATCCCAGCCATCTGCCATGGGCTGCTGGGCTGGACCAGCTGTGGGGCTTGGTGAAGATTGCAAGACATCACTCCTTCCTGGGGTTCATTCCCAGCCACTGCCACAGGTGCTGTAGCAGACTGTTCCAGAGCTGTTTCTCAGGGTGGTAAAGCATTGCAATCATTGTAAAGATCAACTTGTGCTTGCATCCCTCTGCCATGCATTGCTTGCCCATTGCAGACAGCACCCACAACTCTATGGTACAGCCTCTCACCACACTGCACAACACACAGCTGCCATTCTGCCTTTCCACTCTTGCACAGAGTCCTCTGTTCCCACATCATCCCCAACCCTTAAGTAACCAGTCTTGCTGTCACTGAAATAGAGTGGATATACTGACATGAAATAAAATACATATTCTTTCTTTTTTTTCTACTTCCTCTTCAATGAAAAGTAGAACTAGTCCCATACATCCTCTGTGTGTTGTCTGTCTTCTGTCCTTTATCTCTGCTCCAGTCTTCACTTAAGGAAATACTTAGTGGTTCTGGTAGTTTGCAAATGCTTTTACAACATTTCCAGTCTTGTTTTGACAGCTCTCAAAATAACCATTGGTGATTGTGGAGAATACAAGTCCGGGAGTTTTGGGCAGTAGTCCAAATGATGGCATTACCCATTGCTGACACGCTATTTGGCAAAGGGATGATGAGGTGTTGGATATAACAGTGAGACTTCTGTGCAGTGAGAAAAAGGCATTGGAAGTCAACTGCCATGATTTTAAGAAAAACTTCATAAAGCTGTTTCATATGTCATGTGGTTTTGATTGAAATCCTCAAAAAATCTGAATTTTTAAATTTAGATTTACACAGTAATATAAACAGGAGGAAATTTCTCC